GCAGGTACGTACACACAATTACACAGACATACACTCACCGACGCACGCATGCACGGACGTACGCACCTACACAAGCATACACACACGCACACACGCACGCACGCACACACACGCGCGCACACACGCACACACACACACACACACACACACACACACACACACACACGAGCACGCACGCACGCACGCGCACTGGTAAAACCAACGCTGGCGAGCTCCCGTTTGATCATTACTAAAAATGTTCGATATTGTTTATGTTCTTTACGACGTCCGACCCAAATAGCAACTATCGCTTCTGCTGGGCAAACAAGCGATCGCGCGTATCGAGTGTGTCTTGTTTCGAAAATGTGATTCGCATAATCGAAGTGCTGTTTATGAAGGCCAGCCTCACATTAGCAGAAAACGCCGAAAAGCGTTTCGCGGGCTTGCAAAATATTTAGCCGACAGCCAGTGCTCTTTGAGTCGACAGAAAGCGTCCATACTTCTGCCGCCCAGAGAACTGTTTGTGTAGAGTGTGATGACAATCCCTCGCATATATATATATATATATATATATATTTATATATATATATATACCGTGACACATGAGAGAATAATAATACACCGAATGAAGGAAATCCATGACGACGACGTCGCCGGCCGACGGGCCTGGCGTTGTTACTGTTCCTATTATAAATTCCTTATGGATTACTTGATAAAGTAACTAACTGTGAGCATTTCTTATACATTCTAGTAAAATATACGCTGAAAACATCATTTTAGTATTCTACTTTTCAAATATTCTATAGTTTCAGTTAAACTAGACCACAGCGAAGCAGGCGATATTCTACCTAATTAATTGGCGTAGTAATTTGGCTTGTTTTTTTTTGAATGGCATATTCAGCTCAAATAAAACTATGGATCGATTGTTACTGGCTACATAATCGGTTCTAAAGGTACTGCGATCATGTAACTAAAACATTAAGGACGTTACTGTATCGTATAAGATGTAATGTTTTGCATATACAGTCATAATCCTGAAATGGATTTCCGTGGTTATACATTCACGGAATGACACCAGCGCTCTCAAAAGGCGGCGATGGTGTCAAAGAACCAAACTGGGTGGCCACGTTCAGTTTAATATTATAATCCATAACTCAATATTTGTTTTGTCTTGCGCTTGACGTGCATCAATATTTTGCCTGCCAGTTTTTACCGGCGCGGCTTAGGCCTTTGTAGTCGTGTCGTTGTTTTTATTATACGTAGTCATTTATCCTATATCACACATTTACTATGAAGCGTGTTCTACAGCAAGCAGGTACGAATTACGCAATAGAACGAGGCACTTTTCGTTTGACCCTGATGAAGTTTAGCAAACCGGCATCAGAGTCATGTACTATTTAGACTAACGTCAACATTTATAAGCTATGAAAGATATGTTATAAGAATATTATGATATGAAATCATAATAATTATTCAGAAACTTCTATACAAACGCAATAACTATGCGCTTTGTCTGTAATTCGTCGATCATCGTGTGTGCCACGCAGAGCTTTGACCTGTAATAGGGTGAGTAGCAGAAACATGCATGCGTTGTTATTATGACCTGTTACGCGTCCTGTGTGTATCGAATAGCGTTCAAATATATCACAGCTCGATCTCAATACACGCGCAGGCGCGTTGTCGAATAGTAATATTTCTGATATGAGCTTATGCAATATGATATATATATATATATATTGATCCAAATAATTACAAAATACACACACAAACACACACACACACACACACACACACACACACACACACACACACGCATATATATATATATATATATATATATATATATCCTCTAATCTTAGCTTAATTTGCTCCATTTCAAGATTTCTTGTAATAGAGGAAAGCGAGAGTTTCTCTCGGGCTGTGGCATGGATGAACTTCAACGCTTCTAACGCGGCGCGTCCTCGTTAGGTTGCGACCGTTGCCGACGACGACGATTTCCCGCGTGGAGATTACGTCATGCTCGGGCACCAGCGCCCTCTTCCTGGCTAAACTGATGAGATTCAAGAAGCTCGGAGTCGACGTCGTCGTTCTCGTAGATTAGGAAGGCGTGTAGCCTACGGGCGCGGCGTAATTTACCAGCTGGAGAAGATGACAGCGAACGCATAATTTTTATTTTATTTATTGTATTTATTTTTTTATTATTTTGTACGGAATCGGCGTCACGGCGTCCGTTGTTACTGATATCTGCCGGAGGTTGACGACGGTCATTCCCCCTGGCGGTAACAGCACCAACATCATCCTCGTGGCAAAATGCAGGTGACGTTCAACGACATACGAATCCCGCCACAATCGGGAATGGCGCTCGCGGCGCTGGTAGCGTCGCCAGCTAAGATAATAGTTTTCGGTCACATCTCCGCGCTTAAAATATGCAGGTGTATGCCCGGGCGAGATGCGTATAGTAAAACCCTCACTCATGTATACTCATGTATCTATCTAGTTAAGTATATATATATATATATAATATGTGTATATATAAGTATATGTATGTGTGCTTGCGTGTGTGCGCGTGCGTGCGCGCGTATGAACGTGGGTGCGCGTAAGTACTGGCGCTCGGGTCGCTCGAGTCAGCCACCCAAGAGAATGGTGTTTTTTTAATATGGAATGATAGTTTCTCATCAATAAATAACTCCGGCAGAAACATTCCGTGGCGACAAGAACGATCACAATGATTCATAGTCATATCCAGTAAATGTTCTTTATTGTGTTATTGTGGCTGTTTCAATTCTTAGTAACTATTTCCGATTACGAAGTCTCCTATATAAAGGTTTAATAGCTTCAGTAATTTCTTAGAGATGACTTGGAAGCAAAACATGGATAGAATATAGTTATGTATAATCGATGTAAGTTCATGATTGCAAGGCAATAACACTATATATTTTATAACCTAAATTACTTTCATAATAACATTAATATCAACCTGCAGTATCATACAACATCAGAAGCATTTTACCCCATACAACTCTGTATATACAATCAGGAGTAGATAATAGGGAACCCCTTATCCCTATTATCTACTATATCCCTATCTACCTATCTATCTACGAATCCCTATTATCTACTCCTGATACAATGTATACACACATATGTATATATACAGCTAGAATCTATAATTACGCATGTTTCTAGCAAATTGAAAGATCAAGGTAAAACCACTACTACTATCACAACAATTGCCCACTACTATTTCTTCTAATATTAATACAATCCACTATATCTACCAGATACGGATACCACCCCTCATCAAGCCTTTCCCTGAAGAACAAGCTTTTAATTACAACATATATATTAAGCGTTCTGAATGTGCCATAACCTGAATAAAATCGCATCAGTATACTTTCCAATGAGTTCGTTGCCGACTACAAGTTCTTGATCATAACATATAGAATTACATCCTAACTTTGTGAACTACTATATGATTCCGCTTTCTCTATCTTCAAGGGAATGAGGAAAGAATGGTTTAACCACCCTCCTCTTAAGAGTAACATCTATCACAATACTGCCGTTTAACTTCTATGCCGCATAACTGAACCCTAACGTTATAGTACGATACTAAAATAAATCGTAGATAATATCAATAATTAATAACACCTTAGGTTTTATTAGCTCTTGATTACACACATAATGTCTAATCTACGTGATATAGCTGCATAACTAAAATGTCGCTCTGTAGTGAACCAGAGGTAAATCTGGTAGAAGATCGATAGTAAGATAGTTAGTGGTGGCGCGGCTACGATATGCTGGGCAAACCCAAGCCTTCTTGTTCACGATAGTTAGTGGTGGCGCGGCTATGATATGCTGGGCAAACCCAAGCCTTCTTGTTCACGATAGTTAGTGGTGGCGCGGCTATGATATGCTGGGCAAACCCAAGCCTTCTTGTTCACGATAGTTAGTGGTGGCGCGGCTATGATATGCTGGGCAAACCCAAGCCTTCTTGTTCACGATAGTTAGTGGTGGCGCGGCTATGATATGCTGGGCAAACCCAAGCCTTCTTGTTCACGATAGTTAGCTCCTCCCTATACCTTAAGTTAAGGAGGGAATGTTCCCCTTCTTTACACCTCTTGACCTTTGACCGTTGACCCCAGCGTCGACATCCAAACTCGTTTTCGGATTACCCCCCCCCCACACACACACATCCCGACTTTCGAATCCGTACGTCGAGCCGTTTAGATTCGTGGCCCAACTGTTGACGGACGCACGGACGCAGCGGACGATCATGCGATTCTACAAGCTGCATCGACTACGTCAGATGGGCCAACAAAATAACATGCATACGCGTACAGTGTACGCGGGCTACTAGTACTACTAGAGTTATGCTTGTACTTGTAAAGTTGTAGTTGTATCAAACGTGTTGGCAAAACGTGACTGTCACTTTGACTTTGCCTTTTGTTTTTTGGCACTTTCGAAGCCGGAGGCAAATGGATTGATTACCTTGGAATACTCTGAGGCTAGTTTCTGGATATCTACTGTGTAGATCTACTGTTGCACTGTCCATAACTTTGCGCTCGATGCAGTTTGGTCAGATTTGAGCAGTATGCATACTCAAAATACACAATGACATATAGCAAAGGAGGTGTAACTCTCAGTTCTTCGCTAGCGGCTACGTCAATCGTACGCATGTAACCGATAAAGCAAACATACAGTATTGTATATCGTTGTTACCTATAGGTATAAAAAAGACGATTTAATCATAGACATTTTAGATAATAGGATATTTTTGTTCTTTGATGCAGCCTTTATATGTTAATTACTTTTGTTCTGGAATATAAGTAACTACGTATTTATCGCCTGGTTTATTCTGGATGTCAGCGGACTCTCAACCTTGCTCTCAACATTTTTACCGTAACTTGCATCCGCTGATAGTGCGCCGACATCAAACATAAAATCATGGACGGCGTGAGGTTGTATATATTCATCTATTCGTTATTACCACAATAAACCATGGCTGATAGTACATTAGAGAATCAAACTGGACAATCACACGGTGGTGGCAGCATGGTAGCGGAAGGTGGTCCCATCATCGACAACTCTATAACATCGCAGTGTTTGTCGTCGGATATATCTGTTCTTTCCAACCCACGGAACATGTCTAGTGAGGGGCAGTCGTTTGTCAATTTCGACGACACTTCGTCACTCTTTTCTATAACGTCGTCGCTGTCCGCGCCCGAGGCTGCAACAACGACTTGTGCAAGTAATTCAAGAACAAATCAAAAGCTCTGAAGGTACCGCGGTGGACGACGGGAGGAGGCTCCCGCAGCCCCTCCCCCGTGCATCCGATGTCGCCGCCCTGTCTCGATAGCCTGTTTTTCGTTCTTCTGTAAGATATTTGTGTTTAGTCAATAACGTCACGTTGTGTTTTGTTTGTCTGCCTAGCTTTTGTACATTTTTCCGTATGTTAGTGTTGTTGTGTTGTTCGTTCGTGTTGTGCTTGTTTGTTGTTTCTTTGGGTATCGGTTGGAGAAACAGATATGGTAGATGGTGGTTTATCCCGACGAACAAACCACCGCTGGTTGGGATGTCTTATTACGGTGAGGATTTGGTGGTGATGGTGTTGTTCACCGTACGTCCGTCCGTTGTTGTTCTGTTGTGTTTGTTGTTGTTGGTGCCGTTGTTGGTTAAGTTGTTTGTTGCTCTCTCTCTCGTTGGTTGTTGCTTGTTGTCTGTTTGATTGCCCATAGCTTTCCGGTTAATAATTACCATGTGATGTGATGCCAATAATCTCTCCCAGGTCACGTTTCTAGTACAGTTGTTGTCCCGTTTGGATTCTCTAAAGTCACTATCGCACTTCTGCTTGTGTTTTTAAATTAGTATGCCCAGTCATTATGACGTATTTGCATATATAGTAATAGGATATTAAGGGCTGGCATATGTTGTGCCGCAAACTTTGGAATCTTACACAAACTTGGATTTGCAGGTAAATTCGCATCACGCC